GCTTTTGAAGACTTCCTGAAATAGTTTCCTCCTCTGTGCACTGTTGAAAGACTTGTGCAGGACCCAGAAATTGTTCCTCTTCGTTACCTCTTCCCCGCCCTGGGAAGTGAACCAGAGGATGCCTGCTGAGCCCTGCCGAAATCTTCCTGGGCAGGAAAGCTCACGCAGCAAAAGCTTCCATTTCTGAGTCAGGCTCCCCGTTAGGGCTTCGGTCGCTGGGCCTTGGTGCCCTTCTAATGCCCTGTGTGTATCCTGCAGCTGCTCGTCAAAAGCAAGTGGGTTCAATGAAGGCAGTAGCCAGTAAATACAGCCATGGCTCACCCTCCTACACATGTGAGCCCATGCCTTCCCCTTAGGCCTTTCTTTCTCCTCCTAGATGCTGTATTTGCATTCCAGTTGCGCAATCCTGTCCACAATGGCCATGCCCTGCTGATGCAAGACACCCGCCGCCGGCTCCTGGAGAGGGGTTATAAGCACCCTGTCCTCCTGTTACACCCCCTGGGTGGCTGGACCAAGGATGATGATGTGCCCCTCGACTGGAGGATGAAGCAGCATGCGGCGGTGCTTGAGGAAGGGGTCTTGGATCCCAAGTCCACCATCGTGGCTATCTTCCCCTCTCCCATGTTGTATGCTGGCCCCACTGAGGTGAGGAGGCAGGATTGCGGGGCCCACAGTCAAAGATAAAAGAGCAACTGGGTCGCTACAGATCTGCAGTCATCTGCTCACTCTGATTTTCCTATCTTAGCTCTGCTTCTATCTGTTGTTATTAGATGCCTTGAGTCTATTTGTCAGCTCAGAACGGCCCTAGGGTTTTCTTGGTTGTGGTCTCTATGGGACCTCCTACAGAGCTTTCGGATGGGTTTCAACCATGAACCTTTGGGTTAGCAGCTCAATGCTGAGCCATTGGGCCATCAGGGCTCCTTATGTGTCCCTTGAATACCTACCTGGAAGAATGCTAGAGACACCTCATCAAAGTTGGTATGCATTGCCTTTGAGAAGATGGAGGTTGCCAGGTCAATGGGATAAGGAAAGCCGCTTACCTGTGTCACAGGGCAAATTCCACCCAGATGAATTCCGTCGCATTCTAAGTGATTCACCATGCCTGTGAGCTACAGGGGAGCGAAAAGATGCCTTTCAAAGAATGGTGTCCCTCTTTCATCAAAACACAGTGAACCCATCAAGCAAGTGTTCTTTGTCCCTCTGCACCGGCAGTGTGGGACACTGGCATGAGACTGTGAGAAGTTTGGGGGATTAAAAGGGCCCAAACCTTTGGGATGCCCCAGACTGCGTTTAATGAATCCCCTTCCATCAGATCAAAACTCCAGGCTCCTAGCTCCTCTGGCCATCCTATGCCTTTCTCTCTGCCCTATAAAGAAGGCAGTTCATTTTGAATTCTCAGTGTTGTGCTGAACTGCAGTCCATGTATGCACACGCAAGATTATTAGCTCCCTGTTGCTAATAGGAACAGATGTTAGAGTTTGCGGTTCCCTTTAAACTGTGATGATCCTGGGTAGGGAGGAACTGCAAAGTGTAATCCCACAATCTTGGAGAACGTTTAAGATCTAAGTGTTGCCAGTCTGGTCATCTGTTTGGAGAGGAGATGAGGAAATGTAAGTGGGGAGAGATTTTGTCTTTAAAAGCGCCTGTCTTACACCGTATGACCACGTAAGGCCCCGAAGAAGAGAACCTGCACTTTAGACAGCGGAGTGCCTGCCTTGTCATTTCTAGTCGACTCACTTCCTTGGATTCCTCTGCAAACAGAAAAAAGGTGTCTTGGTGGATAGGGGCCATAGAGTTGACCAGTAATTAGTAACTAGAAAGAATATCTCTTATGTCATGTTTCCTAGGTCCAGTGGCACTGCAGGGCACGGATGATTGCAGGTGCCAACTTCTACATTGTTGGCCGGGACCCTGCAGGAATGCCCCACCCTGAGACCAAGAAAGACCTGTATGAGCCCACCCATGGAGGCAAGGTTTTGAGCATGGCCCCAGGCCTTACCTCGGTGGAAATCATTCCCTTCCGTGTGGCTGCCTACAACAAAGTCAAAAGAGCCATGGACTTCTACGATCCAGCAAAGTAGGTATTCCTGAGGAATCCCCTGCTGTCAGCCTTTGTAAACTGGAATGGTGAGGCAACATTTGGGCCCTTTGCCAACATTAGGCTACCCACATGGTAGAAGCACACTAGCCGGTGCGATCATGAGGTGTCAAAGGGATCAGGTAGCAGGCCTCATCAGAACAAAAAATCTTATCACAGTGAATGAGGAGGGGAGTGGAGAGTGGAGACCCAAAGCCCATTTGTAGGCCAATGGATATCCCCTTACAGAAGGGTCTTGGCAAGGAGACGAGCCAGTCAGGGTGCGATGTAGCAACGATGAAACATACAACTTTCCTCTTGTTCCTAAATGCTTCCTCCACCCCACTCCCACCACTCTCATGATCCCAATTCTACCTTACAAATCCGGCTAGACCAGAGGATGTACACTGGTACAGTTAGCAACTGGAAACACAGGGAATCCAGGGCAGAAGATCCCTTCAGGCCCAGTGGTGTGAGTGGCGATACTGGGAGGGTGGGTTGGTAAGGGGGAACCGATTACAAGGATCTGCATGTGACCTCCTCCCTGGGGGATGGACAACAGAAAAGTGAGTGAGGGGAGACATCAGCTAGGACAAGATATGACAAAATAATAATTTATAAATTATCAAGTGTTCATGAGGGAGAGGAGTGCGGGGAGGGAGGGAAAAAATGAGGAGCTGATGCCAGGGGCTTAGGTGGAGAGCAAATGTTTTGAGAATGATGTGCGCAATGAATGTACAAATGTGCTTGACACAATTGATATATGTATGGATTGGGATAAGAGTTGTATGAGCCCCTAATAAATGGATTAAAAAGAAAACATTAGGCTCTCCTGCCCATGCCCACGTGCTCTTTATTGGGACAAGAAGCCCATGAGAAGTAAGACCTCTTGTATCTCTTAAAGTTATTTGAAGTTGGAACCTAGTGTCTTGCATAGAGTAAATGCTCAATAAAAAATTCTCTTTAAGGGCCACACCGGGAAGGGCGTCTGTGCGTTCTTATGGTGCCCTCCCCAGGCTCGGAGCTCTCAGTAGGCAGAGGAGGAGGAGGAGGCAGTCCCCGGCCTCGTGAGGCTTCCTTAAACAGAGTCGGGGCATAGTAGATCCGGAGCGGGTCTGTGTTGCCTTTGACGTCATGATCCTTGGTATGCGGGTGCTCCCTGCTTCAGCTCTTGGGCGGATCCATCTCACGGAGGGGTTCTTCTGATTTTTTTTGCTGACCTTCTATGTTAACCGAGAAGTCCCTTGTTCAACCGCCGGTTGTTCTCCAGGAGAAAGATGGGACAGTCCACTTTTCTAAAGCTGGACAGCCTCGGAAACCTGTCCTGCCATTTCACGGCAGTCAGAATCGGCGCACTGGCAACAGGGTCTATTTCCCGGATGTGACGGAGTTTCTAGCAGTTCATCGTATTTCCCTTTTTGTTCCACAAGTTCCGTTCCTGAAATGCCCCATTTTGGAAGAAGGTGCAATATTTCACTTCTAGTGAAAATGTGGACCTCAGAACCAGGCTTGAACCCCCTGCTGGGAATACCCCTTCCTCCCAGATGTGCTGAAGGTTCAAGCTCACCCGGTGATTCTTAGGGGTCCCCAGGTGATCTTCTGCACATGGAACCTGACGTAGAACTCATAGCCTAACTGAGGAATCCTTAAGGTGGCTGTTACTTAAGTGTGCTGAGTTCTCTGTTCCACCTTCCAACAGGCACGATGAGTTTGACTTCATCTCTGGAACGCGGATGAGGAAGCTCGCCCGGGAGGGAGAGAACCCCCCAGATGGCTTCATGGCTCCCAAAGCATGGAAAATCCTGACGGATTACTACCAGTCCCTGGAAAAGAACAACTAAATGCCCGAGGCTCCAAAGTTTCTTTTTAAAGTGCTCTCTGATTCCCTTTTCTATTGTTGTGATTAGATGCTTTCTATTCAGTTGCTTCTCAATGAGCTGATTTTCAAGTTACTGTTTAGAACGAGGCAAAAGTGTGTCTGTAATTTAAAGTCAAGATGAATTTAATTTTATTTTTTTAAGTCGAATCAGAGCCCACAGGGAATGGTAATAGACCAATAGTATAGGAAGTCAGAGGGGCAGCCTCTTCTTCCAGCTCCTCAGGAGAGAAAAGAAAAAGAAGTAAATGAAGAGGAATTCTCACCTTGTATGAGGTATGGCTCGTGTCAAGATCCTGGCTCATGTTATACCTCATGCCTGTACACACAGCCTTACCACCTAATCTCTTTGTTAAAGTGTAAAACCTGACTGTAGAAACCAAATATATGAAAATGTGAATTGAACCTCAGAAATCTATGCAACCTCATGCTGCCCAGAAACTCTTACTGTCTGAGGAGGAGGTGATGGCCTTTTGTGAGCCGCGAACTGCAAGAAAATGGCGGCTTTGGAGTCGAGTGCTTTGATGAAAGGACTCCAACAATCTGGTGGGATGTGGTGGGAAGTTAACGTGTTCTTTGCTGTGGTCATTGTGCCCTGGGCATGGGCAGCTGTAACCAAAAACAAAACCCACCATCAGAGACGCACAGGGTGCTGGAGCTAGTTGGTTAGGACCCGAGCAAAGAGCAAGTCCAACCCTTATTTTACAAATGCACCTCTCTGCGCGGACACCGATGTCCAGTTGCCTGCAGCACACGGCGCAGGCACTGCCCTGCTTCCCCTCAGCTGCAGAACAAAGCTCCTTGCATACAGGGCACTTACAGAGCAGCCTCCGTAGATACTGAAAGGTCTAGTTTTCTAAACGTGGCTGGATTTATTACAGGTGGAGGGCGGGGGACTTTTCCAAAGACTGTAGCTGTTCTGAGACCTCCAACTTCAGATGGCCTTTTTTCTCTGGAAGAGAAGCCTTTGTACCTTTATTTTTTTAAATTTCATTTTATTTTT